AAGACAGTTCTGGAGTACTACAACACTACTAACACCACCATATGATGGTGATGATGAAACTGTCAGTCTACCATTAGACAGACTGTCAGAGCTGATTGTAAATGTATCATGTGAATTTAGTGTTGTGTTGCTGTGTTGTTCAGACTCTGCATGCAGCGCGTCAGGAAGCCTCGCTGCTGTAAGGGTCCGCAGGGTCTGCTGCCTCGATACTCCTCCACACAGGCAGAGGGTCAGGAGCAGCTCTTCTGCCTCACTGATAATATTCACTCTGAGTTGTAAGTTACGTCTTTTTATTCATTATAATCTTATTACATTTCATTCACACAAGTTTTCATTTGTTTCCTTACACCAGTTTCATAGCTGTGGAGCCGATTGATGGCTACTACGTTCTCATCTCCTCCAAGGCGGTCTACTTCTTGAAGCAGGGAGACTACGTCGACCGAGAGGGCATCTTCCTAGAAGTAAAATACGATGACCTCTACCACTGTCTGGTGTCCAAGGATCATGGCAAGATCTATGTGCAGCTCACCAAAAAGGCAGAGAACTCCAGCAGTGGAGTCGCTATTCCTGGCCCCTCCCACCAGAAACCAATGGTGAGACCAGGAGCCATTCCTGGATTGAACTTGTTTCCATGTGTGAGAATGAGACAGAAAATATGGAAAATATGAGAAGAGACGTGACTAATTCAGACTGTGTAACTGTAAAAGAATAAAATCAAACAAAACAAATGTTATGACATCCGGTTGGATTAGAACAGAACAGAGAATAGAATAGAATAGAATAGAATAGAATAGAATAGAATAGAATAGATATGTAGAAGTGATGACACAGGAACCTAAGGCCACTGTGAACTTAGTCACATAATAACATTTTAAACAGCTTAAGCCGATTTATGAAAATCTATTTGTCTAAATTACTAATAATTTAAATATTTAATATTTTTTCAACATTACAGTATGTCCATGCCTTAAAGAGGCTTCAAGTTGATTTTTGTAATTCTGTCTTCAACATAGAAGATGTCTTTAACATTTTCACAAGGTGGCACAAGTTGTTTCACATTTTAACGTGGGACAGGTTGTAAAGTATTGCCACCTTCAGCTTCCCACAGTCAAGTGTCATTAAAAAACTGCATTGAAAAGGTTTTTTTCTTTGCAGTGGATTTTAAAAACGAGTGTCCAAACATTCAGTAAACAACATAATAAACCTTCTGAAGAACATATTAGACTGACTCCACATTTAAGCTTCCTGCAAAGATTCAGGATGAAATATTTCTGACATTAGGTCTGCTGCAGGACTGCTGCTCTTCTACAAACATGGATTTGTAGTGGAAAAGTTCTTAAAGGGATCCCTGATTAGTTGTAACATTAGACTTTATTTGAAAAAAACATATATTTTAACTGCAAAATAAAGACTGTAAAAATACTGTAGGATGTTAAATTTTGTCAATTTTTAAAAATATATTTTAACACGGACAATAAAGACTGTAAAAATACTGTAGGATGTTTAGTTTTGTCAATTTTTAAAAATATATTTTAACACGGACGGAGCCATT